GTCAGAAGTTGGCCTCTTGCTCAGAAGATCACGAGAAGGAAAGTAGGGCCTCAGGCAGAAGATAAGGAGAGGAGTTGATAAAGCAAACAAACGAGAGGGGAGCAGGAAAGATACAGACAGGAAGACCAAATAACAGAGTACTTTCAAAGCCCCTTTTCATGCCTTTCTCCTTTTAGTTTATGTTCATCGCAGTTCTCAGCTGATGTGGCCCAGGCTGATCCCTAGCAGTGTCTGGGGAAGTCAGTGGGGTTCAGGCACTTCCCCCATCCTGCGCCAGGGCTGGCCACATCCCTCCAGCTGCACCTCCCACCCAGGCCTTGGAAGAACACTTGGTGGCTGCGGCACTGTCCTCTGGCTCACTTACTCTCCCGGTGGAAAAGTTCCCACCACTCCTGCCTCGCTCCAACCCACACGACTCAGCACCTCGCCTCCCAGTGCCCAGACTTTGGAATGCCATAGAACCCCTGTGCTTCCCTCGCCTCAGGGGAAATAAAAGCAAGAAAGAGAGGGAGGGATAGGGAAGCAAGAATGAGGGAAACCATACAGAGACACAGAAAGGGAGAGATGGAGAAGAGAAACAGAGAGACCCAAGAAGGAAAGAGACACAGAGAAGCGGAAAGAAAAAGAGAGACTAGACACACAGAAACGGGAGCAGAGCCCACGCACACAGCGGAATCCCCATCAGCAAATGCTGCTGAGAATGATTCCAAGAATGCCAATAAGGTGGTTCGGGGGGAAAAATAATTCTGTGGCCAAACAAGTAAGATGGAAAGCACAGAGTTAAACAAGAACAAAAAAGGCTTGCTTTCCACAGGGCTCAGCACTTCTGACAGGCAACCGCACAGGTGTTGTGACCCTCCAAGAGGAGGCTCTAGGGTTCCCAATGAATGTGCCCCCCACCACCAGCAGCAGCAAAAACTCAGCACTTTGAGATGTGCCGACAGCGAGATTCAGAGGAAAACAGAGACTAGGGCTTAGAAATAAGAGAGAGGCAGGCAGAGGGAAGGACATAGAGAGACAGACCCAGAAAGAGCTGGGAAGCACACACACACACACACACACACAGAGAGAGAGAGAGAGAGAGAGAGGGAGAGAGAGAGAGAGAGAGAGAACTTAACACAAAAAGAGAGGCAGAGCAGAGACCAGCATAAAGATATATGCACACAGAGAGGGACAGAGCTACAGAGACAGAGGAATAATAAATTAGAGACAGAGACCCAAAGACAGGTACCCCTGCCTCTGTAAAGCTGAGTGTGTCATTACCTTGTTTGAAAACCTTAGTGGTGGATGAACTCTGTGCCTGTGAACTTGACCGACACCACCCTTCATGATCCGCCCCAGTCTCATCACTTCCACACTATTCTCATGCTGTTTCTCTGCCAACCCAGGCCCTTTCTCACCTTCAGGTCATGCACAAGCTGTCTGTCCCCTCTGCCTGGGATGCCTTCCAGCCCCCACCCTTGCTTCTCTGTGTCTCTGTCTCTTTCATTCTTGGGTCTCTGTCTCTCTGTCTCTCCCAATTGGCAGTGTACCCCCAAATTGCAACCCAGAGAAGCTCGGGCTTGTTATGAAACATGGAGCCCAGCAGATTCCAAAGCTCCTCCTGAAGTTGGCCCAAACACACCTCCTCTCTCGGCAGGCAGAGGCGTCTGCCAGTGCCAGAGGACAAACTCCCTGGGGAAAGACACTTAATCTGCAGCACAAATACATCTAGTCAACCCTAGGAGGAAGGCCTGAGAAATACATCAACCAGGCAGCGGAGCAGAGCCGCCGAAGGAGCAGTGTTCCTGCCCCACTCTCTGCTTCTGGAAAGCTGAGCCCATGCATCAGTGGTCACCAACCACAGCTACAGCTTGGCTTCCGGAGGGCGAGGCTGACGTAAAGCTCTGGGAGCTACTGAGCTGTTTTTAAATAATTTGCCATTAATTTTCTGGTTTTGTAACAGCTTTCAAGATGAAAGATCAGCTGGGTGACTTCAAAGCCTGTATTTCACTGGCATTAATGCTGACTCAACCCACAAGCCACCACCTCCTTTTAATCCCTTGGATTTGCACCTGTTCCAACAAAGAGCAGTCCCGACAGACTTCCGCGGAAACAGTCAAGTCCCCTCCACAGCAGATCGATTTGCATCTTTGTTCCTTGCAGCCCAACCTGTCTCAATTTTGGCTCCAGGCAAGATGTGCCAGAAGGTTCCTAGTGGTCAAACGTCTGTTCCCTTCTCTTGGGGACCAGACCAGCTCAATTCACTTTCCTTGTGTCGCTCTCCATAGAGATCTCTCCAAAGCGCAGGAATGACTGGCCTTCTCTCTGCTCAAATGCCTTCCCTGGCCCCCGTCTGCCACTCTATCCAGGTGGTCATTCTGCAGCTAAGCAGAATTCTTCACTGCGCTGTCTGTGCTCTCTTACGTACTCATGAGACCATGCACACACGGTCCCCTCTGCCTGGGATGCCCTCCAGCCCCCACCCTTGCTTCTGCCTCACTCGGTTCATGCTTCTGTGTTAGCATGCACACTATTCGACTGTAATTTCTTGGTGTGTTTCTCTTCCATCAGCCTGGAACCCACAGAGTCATGCTCTACAAACATTTGTTGAGTGGATGCATGGACAGGTGGACAGATGGAGGGATGGATGGATGGAAACACAAGTAATTACCAATCCCAGGCCATATGGTGAGGCATGCCAAGTGACTGCCACTGCCAGTCACCAGCCCTGCAGCTGCCGAAAGGTGCAAGGTACCGAAAGCAGCAAGATACTGCTGGCTGCAAAGTCCAGCTCCTGGCTCCAAGGCTGGCTCCACTTCTTCTGACTCATAATTCACTAAACAAGTGTTCTGAACCTGGACCCCTAAAAGGTCCGCAGATAGAATTCAGGGGTGTCTATGAGCTTGGATAAGGAAAGCTATCTCAGGCCACAAAGCACAGTAATATCAGTAGTACTTTGAACCCAAGAAAAATTACAAATACTTTTAGATCCCATTACAGTTGTCACAGATGTCTCAGAGTATCATTATTGTTCATCCCTACTCTGATATTACAATTGTGTTGGCCGCTGTTAGATATGGATTTCTGCTGCCTTACCTTCTAACCTGAAAAAGAAGAACATGCGTTACTATATTACAAATATGTTTAACTACAACATTCTTACATATCTATTCCAACAAAATTGGTTTCTTTTGTAAGTTTCCATATTTTATTTTACATACTTACCTTTTGTAAGTTCTGCATTTTATTTCATTTTTTGAGATGGAGTCTCACTTTGTCGCCCAGGCTGGAGTGCAGTGGCACAATTTCAGCTCACTGCAACCTCCGCCTCCCAGGTTCCAGCAATTCTCCTGCCTCAGCCTCGGTGCCCACCACCACACCTGACTAATTTTTGTATTTCCAGTAGAGATGGGGTTTTGCCATGTTGGCCAGGCTGGTCTCAAACTCCTGACCTCAGGTGATCCACCCACCTCAATCTCCCAAAGTGCTGGGATTATAGGGGTGAGCCGCCACGCCTGGCCAGTTCTCTATTTTAATTTATTCACTTATTACTCTGAGAAGGGGTCCACAGGCTTTAGCGCATAATGTTCAGAGATCCATGGCACAGCGATGGTTAAGAATGCCCTCAAGCAGAAGTAAATGGCAGAGCCCAGAGTGTCTGCGATGCCCAAGAAGAGAGGGAAAGCCTCTGCCTAGACTGCTGTGGCTGGCAGACAGCCTGTTGTGCACCCCTTCCCTGAGCCCAGTGCATAGAGGTGCAGTGTCCCTGAGGGGACGTGGAAGGAGGGTTGTGCCCATCACTCAGCACTCCCTGAGCAGGGCCAGCCTTCCCAGAGATGTTACCCTTCCTCCTCAGCACCCACACCCTGCTCCAGACGGCAGGAATCCTTTCAGCAGAAGCTTTGAGGGATCTAATTTTCAAAAGAGATGCTCATCCTAGCCCACCCACCTCGCCTCAGAATGTCAAGGTATTTACATACACGTCTCTTGGAGCTATCGGCCAAAGCTTGGCACGAGCGTGCAGAGAACACAAAGAAAATTATAGCTGGGCTAGGGCCATCAGACCTGGAATTGGCATGGCTACCATGGTGCCTGGATGCTGTGCTCTGCCACGCAGAGTCCCCCACAGGACCCAGGGACTCATTCTCACAGCTGCCGGGACTTTTGGCTGCTGGTGGGTCACCACAGGGTTCCTCCCCAGGAATGGCCCTCAGTGGAAGGAAGCTGACTTACGCTACGTCCGCTCCTATGGCCCGTCACTGTGGAGGGCCAAAGGTCCAAGCCCCTGCCTCAGTGTGGAACACCCATCTGGCAATCCCAGCACCAGAGCCCCAGTGGGGTGGGCCGAGCTCCCTGTGGCAGCTGCATCAGAGTTCAACTTCGCTTCCTGCCCGATCCTGCTGCAAGACAATGGAGATGGAATTATGAAGGCGTCTCTCCATAGAGTCCTGGCACTGAACTAAAGATAGTGTGAGGAACACTCAAGCACTCACCCTGCTAATGACCCAGAAAGGATACAACAAACCACAGACGCCTGACCACAACCTGGTGAAGTCTATGCACCCCTTAGAAGGTTTGTAAATATACGCAATGTAATGTACAGAATTGCAATGCTGATTTAGGTAAGCAGCCAGTAGGTACCCGTTGGAGCTCCCACCTCAAAAGGGTTGGGGACCTACAAGACTGGGAAGGTGGAAGTGATGTGCTGGTCAGGTTCACAAGTAAGAATTCATGGGGGACGGATGCCGCCCCCAGTATCCCTCCTTCCCTTCTCCGTCTTTGGTTTTAGTTGGGAACATGGCAGCCCTGGTATAGCCTGTATTAGTTTGCTCAGGCTGCAATAACAAAGTACCCCAGACAGAGTGGTTTAAACAACAAGCTTTTACTTTATCCCAGTTCTGGAGGCTGGAAGTCCAAGATGAAGATGTTGGCAGGGCTGGTTTCTTCTGAGGTCTCTCTCCTTGGCTTGTGGGTGGCTGTTGTCTCCCTGTGTTTCCCTGTGTTCCCGGGGTGTGAGTATGACCACAATGGCAGCTGCCACCCTGCTGCGTGCGATGCCCCACTTCAGCAGTCTCACTGCCAGCCTGACATTCCTGCTGCAGGGTTTGTTGCGGCCACTGAAGACCCCGGCATTGTCCCTCTTGTGCCTTGGTGCGACAAGCCGCATGTGAATGTAGGTACCGTCGGCCATGTGGACCATGGCGAGACCACACTGACTGCAGCCATCACGAAGACTCTAGTCGAGGGAAATGTGGCTAAGTTCAAGAAGTACAAGGAGATTGACAATGCTCCGGAGGAGCGAGCTCAGGGTATCACCATCAATGCAGCCGATGTGGAGTATAGCACTGCAGCCCGCCACTATGCCCACAGAGACTACCAGGGTCATACAGATTATGTTAAGAATATGCTCATGACCAGGCATGGTGGCTCACGCCTGTAATCCCAGCAGTTTGGGTGGCTGAGGTGGGCAGAGCACCTGAGGTTGGGAGTTCGAGACCAGTCTAACCAACATGGTGAAATCCTGTCTGTACTAAAAATATCAAATTAGCCAGGCATGCTGGTGCATGCCTGTAATCCCAACTACTCAGGAGGCTGAGGCAGGAGAATTGCTTGAACCCAGGAGGCGGAGGTTGCCGTGAGCCGAGATCGCACCATTGTCCTCCAGTCTGGGCAACAAGAGCAAAACTCTGTCTCAAAACCAAAAAAAGAAAAAGAATATGATCAAGGCACCGGACCCCTTGACGGCTGCATCCTGGTGGTAGCAGCCAATGACAGCCGCATGCCCCAGACCCGAGAGCACTTCTTACTGGCCAGACAGATTGGGGTGGAGCATGTGGTGGTGTGCATGAACAAGGCTGACACTGTCCAGGACTCTGAGATGGTGGAGCTGGTGGAGCTGGTGATCTGGGAGATGCTCCCCAAGTTTGGCTATAAAGGGGAGGAGACCCCAGTCATTGTAGGCTCTGCTCTCTGTGCCCTTGAGGATTGGGACCCTGACTTAGGCCTGAAGTCTGTGCAGAAGCTGCCAAACGCTGTGGACACTTACATCCCGGTGCCCACCTGGGACCTGGAGAAGCCTTTCCTGCTACCCATGGAGTCAGGGTACTCCATCCCTGGCCATGGCTCTGTGGCAACAGGAATGCTAGAACGTGGCATTTTAAAGAAGGGAGATGACTGTGAGCTCCTGGGACATAGCAAAAGCACCCGCACTGTGGTGACCGGCACTGAGATGGTTCACAAGAGCCTAGAGAGGGCCGAGGCTGGAGATAACCTCAGGGCCCTGGTCCAAGGCTTGAGGAGGGAGGACCTATGGCGGGGCCTGGCCATGGTCAAGCAGGTTCCGTCCAGCCCTGCCCCAAGGTGGAGGCCCAGGTTTATATCCTCAGCAAGGAGAAAGGTGGCCACCACAGCCCTTTGTGTCCCAATATATCCTATCATGTTCTCCCTGACTTGGGACATGGCCTGTTGGGTTATCCTGTCCCCAGGGAGGAGCTTGCTATGCCCAGGAGGACCTGAAGCTCAACCTAATCTTGCAGCAGCCAATGATCTTAGAGAAAGGCCAGCATTTCACCCTTCGAGATGGCAACCGGACATCGGCCCCAGTCTAGTCACCGACACACCGGCCATGACTAAGGAGGAGAAGAACATCAAGTGGGCTTGAGTGTGCAGACTTCTGCTCAGGTTTCCCTGCACTGGCCAGGGCTCCCTCCTGCTTCCAGTGCCCCCTTGGGGCACAGGCTGCAACCCAGAAGAAGGCAGCTAGATGGACACTTCCCCTGGTTGGAAGGGTTGCCCTGCCTGGCTTGGGAGGTCAATTGTGAATAGTAAGCCCCCAAAAAAGCCACTTTAAACATGGTCTTCCCTCTGTGTGTGTCTGTGTCTTAATCTCCTCCTCTTACAAGGACGCAGTCATTGGATTAGGTCCCAACCTAATGGTTTCATTTTACCTTAATCACCTCTTTAAGGATCCTGTCTCCAAATACGTTCTGAGGTGCTGGAGTCAAGACTTCAACATATGAATCTGGAAGGGGGACATATTCAGCACAAAACAAGCCTGCATTTCCCAACCTCCCTCCTTGCAGCTAGGTGTGGCTGTGTAACGAACTCAGTCCTAGGACATTTGTGCAGAAGTGCTGTCAGTTTCCTAAAGTCAAACAGCTTGCCCCATACTTGCTTGGTTTTTCCCTTCCCAGTGGCTGGAACCACTGTCTTAGACAGCAGGGAGCTGTGTGCTAGGCTGGTGGAGTGGGTGCTAACCTGGGTCCGTGAACAGCTTCGTGGAGCAGAACCTCCTGTCCATCCTGGATTGTCACTGTCGTAAGAACAGAATTTCCATGGCACAAAACAGGAAGCATTCATCCCACTGTGTCTGCAGGCTGGCTGGGAGTCTGCTGTTCTGGCTGAGCTCAGCTGGGAGCTGGGGCTGCAGCTCTGGTCTGCGTCTGCTCCACTTTCTGGCACCTTCCTTGAACCACCAGGCTGGCTGGGGATGATGCTTCTTATGATGAAAAGCAGGAGAACAGGAGGGGCAACAGCACCGGCAAGGCCTCTCACAGCCTGGTTTTTCTAGAACATCGTCACTTCCACCCACATGCCATTGACTACAGCAAGTCATTCAAGATGGGCCAATAGTTTACCAGGCCTGCCTGCATTTAGAGACATGAGTGAGAAAGGAAGAAACTTCCATCTTACATAAACCACTGTATCTGGGGATCCTTTTTAGAGTGGTTCAGCCTGTACCTTAATATATGACCTAGTCTATCCCCCACCAGAGCCTCCAGCATCGGAGAGAGCTAAAACCTGAACCTGCAGTTCAGAGGCAGACAGCTGCATTGCATCCTCACGTCCAAGAGACAAGCTGGAGGCCAGACACAGGGCCAGGCCAAGAGGGCTGGAAACCAAGAAATGGGGTAAGGATACAGTCAACTTGGCTTGGCTGTCCTGAGTAACAGCTGGGTGTGTGTGTGCCTCAGGAGGTGTACTAGTCCATTCTCACACTACTATAAAGAAATACCTGAAGCTGGGTAATTTATCAAGAAAAGAGGCTTAATTGGCTCACAGTGCTGCAGGCTGTACAGACTTCTGACTTCTGCTTCTCGGGAGGCCTCAGGAAACTTACAACCATGGTGCACCAGGGAGATGCTGCTAAGCCATTAGAAAATGTCCTATGATCTAATCACTTCCCACCAGGCACCTCCTCCAACACTGGGGATTAGAACTCAATGTGAGATTTGGGCAGGTTCACAAATCCAAACTGTATCAGAAGAGGTCTTGTAGTGGGGGCAGTCAGCCTGGTTATGGGATCACCAGTGGATAGAAGAGATGGGGAGGGAGCAGCATTAATCTATGCATTCAACAAATATCTGGAGCGCCTACTGTGTGTCAAGAGCTGTGTTAGGGACTAGGGAGATAGAGGACACAGTCCCCACCACTAAGGAACCAGCAGGGCCACGTGGGTAAGATGGCACTTTGCCTCCAAGAGGACGGTCACCAGTGAGCACCTGCACACCTTGCAGAGAAGTGGGGGGTAGGGCTGTCCCCACCCACAGCTGAGTCCAAAGCATTCATGGGAGGAACTGACGTCTCAGCCTGGAGGTACACACAGGACACAAGAGTTCTTTTGTTTGTAAGACTCCTAAGAGTAACCTGAAAGTTCATGAGGATATTCCCTGTACTTATGTTTGTCTTGAAAATATTATCTGAAGGATATTCTACAGGTTACAGGTTAAAACAGAGTCCATTCTTAAAGACATTTTGGCCCCAGGAAGTGACTTCCTCCCCACATAGACTACACTGCGTGTGGCAGTGGGGTGGGCGCTAAGAATGTGGACTTTCAAGCCAAGCTGTCTGGCGTCCAATCCTGGTGCGACCTCTTCCTAACTGTGCCACCTGATGCAAGTTAGTTCACGTCTTTTGTTCTTTGTTGTCCCCATTTTCCCGTAGAAGCGAGTAGGGATTCCATGAGCAAATAGATGTGATGTACTTAGCACAATGTTGGGCACATATTATAAGCCCCTGTTTTTATGCCATTCAACCTCTACGCCTTTGTCCAGGCTGTACCCCCCAAAAACAAAGAGAACATAGAAGGAGACACAAGCAGCAAATGTTTGGAATCTGAAAAGTTGATGGAGAAGGGCTAACTGACTTAGCAGATCCAAGAAAGTGGAATCGTTCATCAGCAGTAGAGAAAGCCAAGAAACAGCCCATTTATACGGATGACCTTCCCAAAGACTGAAACATGGGCAGCCACAGATACTTTAGAAAGTGGGACAAAGATAGCATTTATAAAAGAGGAGGAGGGATCCACCTTCCCCACCTTTACAGAAGGCTGGAGGCTCATTCTGCAAAGAGGACGACATAGAAGGCTGTAGGACTGGGGACACCAGGGAGAACACAAGGACAAATTCGGGAACATTTGCATAATGAAGGTAGAGATCCCTGGATTTTATGCCTGCCTGGCTCCCAGTGCCCTGGCTATTAGCATTAATCTTTTCCAGGTAAGGGATAGGGAATCTGAGAAGCTGGAAAGAAAGCATCTGTAGGTACAGATATCAGTCCTCTCTTCTGTAAAATGGTCAGAGAACACTGCTGGAGCAGGTCATAAAGTAGAGTTGGTCGGGGTGTGGTGGGGAGACTCATCCTGCCTGTCCCCCTTTCCAGGGCAAGGAAATTCTCAGCACATGGCTCCTCTGGGCTCCAGATACCTGCAATGCCTGAGCAATGGCTGCTGGCTTCCTCTGTGAAACACCGAGGTGGCCCAGTGGGAAGAGCCAGGACAAGCCCCAAGTACTTTCCCGGCCGAAATAGAGCAGGGACCCCTCCAAGAGTCCTGCCCCATCCTAAGCATGGAAATAAAGGAAAATCTTGAGTTCCTTCAGGGAAAATTCCTAAAGTGCAGAAACTGCTTGAGATTATGCAGATTTGTTGTTTTAAGCCACTATATTTCAGGGTAATTTGGCAGGTGCTAGTAGGTAACTGTTCCAGGCTAGCCCTGAGAAGTAAATGAGCAATCTGATAAGCAAGAAGTAATAATAGCTTAAAACAATAGCCAAGAAAGTTAGAACCACAAAATATTTGGTTTCCCATGGAAGCTACAGATAATTTTGTTGTTGTTGTTTTTTTTTTTTTTCTTTTTGAGACAGAGTCTCTCAGTTACCCAGGCTAGAGTACAGTGGTATGATCTCAGCTCACTGCAGCATCCGCCTCCCAGGTTCAAGCAATTCTCTAACCTCAGCTCCCCAAGTAGCTGGGATTACATGCATGCACCACTATGCCCAGTTAATTTTTGTATTTTTAGTAGAGACAGTGTTTTGCCACGTTGCCCAAGCTGATCTCGAACTCCTGAGCTTAAGCGATGTACCCGCCTTGGCCTCCCAAAGTGCTGAGATCACAGGTGTGAGCCACTGCATCTGGCCAAGACAGCATCTTAATTGATGTCCCTGAGTTGTTTTTCAGAAACCCAGACCCCACTGATTGGAAACTGCTGTCTGGTGGCACACAGACCTCAGATAAGGGGGAGCTGAGAACTGAACCCTGACTGCTGTTCTTTTTTCTCAATTTCTTCATTAGGTACCCGGAGGAAGCCACACCAAAGGCCAGAGCTCAACATTTCTTTATGTTGACCCCAAGTTGTTAGACAAAATTTCTCCCCCTTAACCAATTGCAAATCAGAAAATCTTCGAATCCACCTATGACCTGTGAATCTCTGCTTTAGGATGTCCCACCTTTTCAGGTACTGATTTATGTCTTTGCTGGTAACCTCTGCCTCCCCACCTTTAAAAACCCTTACGGGTTGTATTCCTAGATATTTTATTCTCTTTGTAGCAATTGTGAATGGCAGTTCGTTCTTGATTTGGCTCTCTTTAAGTCTGTTATTGGTGTATAGGAATGCATGTGATTTTTGCACATTGATTTGTATCCTGAGACTTTGCTGAAGTTGCTTATAAGTTTCAGGAGATTTTGGGCTGAGATGATGGGGTCTTCTAGACATACAATCATGTCATCTGCAAATAGAGACAATTTGACTTCCTCCTTTCCTATTTGAATATCCTTTATTTCTTTTTCTTTCCTGATTGCTCTGGCTAGAACTTCCAGTACTATATTGAATAGGAGTGGTGAGAGAGGACATCCTTGTCTAGTGCCACATTTCAAGGGGAATGCTTCCAGTTTTTGCCCTTTCAGTATGATATTGGCTGTTGGTTTGTCGTAAATCGCTTTTATTATTTTGAGATACGTTCCATCAATACCTATTTATTGAGAGTTTTTAGCATAAAGCGCTGTTGAATTTTGTCAAAGGCCTTCTCTGCATCAATTGAGATAATCATGTGGTTTTTGTCTTTGGTTCTGTTTATGTAGTGAATTACATTTATGGACTTGTGTATGTTGAACCAGCCTTTCATCCCCGGGTTGAAACCTACTTGATCATGGTGGATAAGCTTTTTGATGTGCTGTTGCAATCGGCTTGCCAGTATTTTATTGGAGATTTTTGAATCTATGTTCATCATGGATATTGGCCTGAATTTTCTTTTCTTGCTGAGTCTCTGCCAGGTTTTGGTATCAGGATGATGTTGGTCTCATAAAATGATTTGGGAAGGATTCCCTCTTTTTGGATTATTTGGAATAGTTTCAGAAGGAATGGTACCAGCTCCTCTTTGTATGTCT